TTGAGAGACTTGTAGTTCACACACTTTAGTATTTTTCAGGTTGCATATATACATGAAAATTTTCACATATTCACATGCTATTTAGAGAATATGTGGCAATTCATTTATACTTAGATGCTTCATTGGCACAGTGTATTCTCTGACAATAAATAATGAGGTATTAATCTTTGAATTTTGTGAGGTTCCTTTTCAGTATGAAATCTCATGATGCTGACATGATGTTATTTGTAGATTTTCAATGCACAAGGATTCAGTGCTATTCAACAACATTGTATGGGTAAATGTATGCTTTCTCACATTTTTTATGCTGCTAGTTTCTCAAACACATGAATGGAGATTTTGCAATGTTGTACTTAATTCTAAGTTTTCCTTCAGTACACTATGAAGTTTTGTAATATATAAATATAAGCATTTGAATATTTTCCAGACTTTTGGATATATCCCTCTACTGCAGATTCTGCTTTGTATTCTAAGGATTAAGCCCAGGGTAAAGGATGTACCACACTCTGTGCAACAGTAAACTATCTCTCTAGTATGAATTTTTTATGTGTCACCATTTGACATATGATTAAAGGAATTGCTACATTCCTTATAATTCCTGTGTCTCCCTTTAATGTAAATTCTTTGATGTTCTCTAAGAGTTTAAATACGAGTACAGGGCCTCTCAAGCCCTTTTCATTTGTGGGGTATCTGTCTACTATGAATTCTCTGATGCCTTCTATGTGCTGGGCTCTCAGTCAGTCATATTCTTCTTATCGGAATGGTTACTTTCCAGTAGGAATTCTCTGATGAAACATTAAATCTGACATACAATGAACGGACTTGTCACATGCTTCACATTTATAGAATTTCTCTCAAGTATGAATTACATGATGTCCTCTAAGATGAGACAAATTTTTAAAGGACTACTTACATTCTTGACATTTGTGGGGATTCTCTCAATATGAATTATTTTATGTGTCTTATTTAAGTTAAGCTCACCATAAAGTACTTGTCACATAATTCACATCTGTAGGGTTTCTCTCAAGCATGCATGCACCCATGTCTTCTAAGAATTGACATGTGCCTAAAGGACTTGTCACATAATTCACATCTGTAGGGATTCTCTCAAGCATGCATTCGCCCATGTCCTCTAAGAATTGACATGTGACTAAAGGACTTGCCACATCCTCACATCTGTAGGGTTTGTCTCCAGTATGTATTTGCTGATGTATTCTAAGATATGACATGTGATGAAAGAACTTGTCACATACTTCAAATCTATAGGGTTTCTCTCCAGTGTGTGTTCGCTGATGTCCTCTAAGCCTTAACATGGAACTAAAGGTCTTGCTACATTCTTCACATCTGTAGGGTTTCTCGCAGTATATATTAGTTGATATAATGTAAGATGTGCCATTTGGCTAATGGCCTTGGCACCTGCTTCACATCTGTAGGGTTTCTCTCCATGATGTATCTGCTGATGTACTCTAAGGCTTGACGTGCAACTAAAGGTCTCATCACATTCTTCACATTTGCAGGATTTCTCCCCAGTATGTGTTTTCTGATGTGATCTAAGATATGACATTTGATTGAAGATGATGGCACACTCTTCACATCAGTAGGGTTTCTCCCCAGTATGTATTCGCTGATGTCCTCTGATATGACATTTGACTAAAGGACTTGCCACATTCTTCACATCTGTAGGGTTTCTCTCCAGTATGTATTTGCTGAAGTCTTCTAATACTGGACCATTTACTAAAGGACTTGCCACATTCTCCAGATCAGTAGGGTTTCTGCCCATTATGTATTCGCTGATGTCCTCTGATATGACATTTGACTAAAGGACTTGCCACATTCTTCACATCTGTAGGGTTTCTCTCCAGTATGTATTCGCTGAGGTCTTCTAATACTTGACCATTTACTAAAGGACTTGCCACATTCTCCACATCTGTAGGGTTTCTCCCCAGTATGTATTTGCTGAAGTCTTCTAATACTTGACCATTTACCAAAGGACTTGCCACATTCTCCACATCTGTAGGATTTCTCTCCATTATGTATTCATTAACGTGCTCTAAGATATGACATGTGACTAAAGAACTTGCCACATTCTTCATATCTCTACAGTTTCTCTCCATTATGTATTCACTGATGTACTCTAATATCTGACATGTGACTAAAGAACTTGCCACATTCTTCATATCTGCAGGGTTTCTCTCCTGTGTGTAACTGCTGATGTCTTCTAAGACTTGACATTTCACTAAAGGACCTGCCACATTCTTCACATCTGTAGGGTTTCTCTCCTGTATGCATTCGTTGATGTCCTCTAAGGTGTGACATTCGACTAAAGGACTTGCCACATTCTTCACATCTGAAGGGTTTCTCTCCAGTGTGTATCCGCTGATGTCTTCTAAGACTTGACATTTCACTAAAGAAATTGCCACATTCTTCACATCTGTAGGGCTTCTCTCCTGTATGCTTTCGCTGATGTCCTCTAAGATGTGACATTCGACTAAAGGACTTGCCACATTCTTCACATCTGTAGGGTTTCTCTCCTATATGTATTTGCTGATGTAGTCTAAGCCTTGACATTTCACTAAAGGACTTGCCACATTCTTCACATCCATAGGGTTTCTCTCCTGTATGCATTCGCTGATGTCCTCTAAGATTTGACACTCGACTGAAGGACTTGCCACATTCTTCACATCTGTAGGGTTTCTCTCCTGTATGCATTCGCTGATGTTCTCTAAGATGTGCTAGTTGAGTAAAGGATTTGCCACATTCTTCATCTCGGTAGGGTTTCTCTCCTGTATGTATTCGCTGATGCACTCTAAGCCTTGACATTTCACTAAAGGACTTGCCACATTCTTCACATTTGTGGAGTTTCTCTCCAGTATGACTGCTGTGATGTAATTTTAAACTTGACATCAAAGAAAAGGACCTGTCACATTCTTCATATCTGTAGGGTTTCTCTACATTATACACCCTCTGATGTCTTCTAAGAGTTGAGTTCTCCAGACAAAGGAACAAAGAAGACAACATTTTAATACGGAGAATAAGGCTGAGATAATCACTCCCATACATAAGGAACATGTAATATGCATGAATACAATTTCCAACATTGAGAAACATTCAAACGAACAAAAGTAAAAATCTATGGAGTAAAACAGAGAGATGAAATCAAAACTACAATGAGAAAATTTATTCAATAAAAAAAATTAGAGAATGTATGAAAAATACAGAAATACATGGATATACAATCACAAGAGAGTCATCTCAAAAGCTGAAGTAAGTATAAACAGAGCTCTACACATAAGCCAAAGGCAACATGAGAAAAATACTGAGAAAAAAGAAGAAAAAAGAAAAATGAATACTTAATTCTTTTAGGAGGAACGAAACAAAACACACAAAATTTACTAATTTCAGGATATGTTAAAAACTTGACTCTATAGGCCTAAATAACATAACGAATAAAATCTGGTGAGGGGCACATGGGAGGGGTGCAGATCGGGTAGGAGGTATAAAGGTGATTAACATTTTTATGAAATGTGAAAAAATTCAATAAAAATACACATTGAAAAAAATGCAGTACAGGAAGAACACATAGGGAAAAAAGCAGCCATTAGCTTGCACTGGGAAGAAATGTGACATGGGAGATAAGGAAAATTTAAACAATGAAACCAAGTGCTGTTTGTATACTATTAATTGTCACACTAATTCACATGCAATAAAAGAAGCCATTTGACCACAGGTCAACTTACCACAGGTAAATTATTGATGAAACTGCTATAAATTAAATTATCAGAATCTCTTCGTAGCTAAACAGACTATGACAAAACCATTCTCAGGTCTTTATCCCTCTTCACTTAGGACCTCTCACCTGGGCCCCTCCTTCATGAACTCAGTCCTACCTGGTTGGCTACAGTCTCCCCTCTCTTCACATTCCAGGGCTCTTTGCTTTGTTCCAAACAGGAGACCAGAACGGGCTTACACACAGCAAGGCCTGTGTATGAGAAACAGGCACATACATTTGCTGGATTCTTTAGAAAGTACCAGATTTCTAACACAGCACTGTGCCACATGAATAATAATCAGAAAAAGAAAGGACTCTCCAAATAATTTCTCAATTTTTATTTTCTGACAGACTCACTAGAATACACAGGAATTTTTTCAGTTTTCATACACTGAGTTCTATCACTGATTCAAATGCAGCTATGGAAATGGAACTTTAAGATTCTGGCTACAGTATCATGTACTAATGTGTGGCTGAAAATAATAACAAAAATAATGAAAATGGATAATTCCTCTAACAACTGAAAATGGAAAAAAAAGATAAAACATAAACATGTTTCACGATGCCCAGACATTCCCGTGAACTCATTTTTTAAGAATCTGACACTTAATTAGCAAAACTAACATACGCACAAAGTAGACTATAACCTGTCAAAGGACGCAGAAGAGTAAAGAATTCTCCAAGAAAAATCTCCTCACCTACAGACACCAGATTGCTGTAGTTCTCCAACATCAACTCCCTATACAAAGCCCTCTGGGCAGAGTCTAGGCATTCCCACTCCTCCTGGGAGAAGTCTATGGACACATCCATGAAAGTCAATGGATCCTAAAATGAAAAATGAAAATTAGGCTATGTGAACTTAAACAGGATACTAGACTCAAGAAAGAGATAATTAGGAAACAACTTCTGTATTGGATGAGAAATCTGAATTATTTAAAAGGACATTTCTTAAAGGTGTAACTATCTATAATCGACGCTCTAACTTGTGCAAAAAAGAATAGTATCAGACGCTCCAAAGTTTTGTGAGGATTATGATGTTAAGGAGCACAACACAGAAATTAAGTGCTCAACAAAGAAATACCGTTTCTCACCTATAGTTGTATCATACAAGATCAGTTGTATATATTTATCTGATGTAAAGTCACACTGATATATGTCTGCTTCATAAAATTGAATGCTTATAACCATGTACTGTAGTCCTAGACAAAACACAGATTTCTACCTTAAAATGATTTGTGGCTGGCCCCGACTTAACCCTTTCCTAACAGACGTTGCAGTAAGGCCAGTAGGCCAGTACAAAAGACACTTTCTCCAACAGCACTGAGTAGAACATGGTGGAAGATAAAGAACTCTGTGCTCTCCCTCCACAGCAAGAACACACAGTCCTTGTAAAGAACATTCTATATCTTGCATGTAATGTAGAATTTACAGAAACATCAGTGCATAGGTATTCTAACAATATTCTTATAGTAATTTCTTCTTTTATGCTCACCAAAGAGTAATGAAAACATGAAGACAAGATCCAACAATGACAACAATATTGATTCCGCATACACAAAGGCCTCCAAAATCAGGCAACGGCTTGTGTGTAACATTTAATAAATAAAACTCTTTTCTGAGGCACAAAAAAAAAAAACAGTAATGGAGGCATTGCTGTGATTGATGGTGAGGCAGAAATACCAATGGAGAGGAAGAGGCCTGCTTCAGAATCTCACATGGAAAACTCGGGATTTAGCAAACAAATGAGAAAGGTTTCTTTCTCCAGAGAAACGAAGAAAACTACCAGCTATGAAAAGACAGATCCTGCAGTAAATGTCATGATTCGTGTGCTTCACTCTGTGAACTACCAGAAGAAAACTTATTCCTAATGAATTAAAAAAATGTGACAGTCTAGGATTTGGTGCAGAGCAGCTCAACCAAGGGAATCAACTCCCAGGAGACAAAAGAATACATGTGTCAACAAACCCGGCAGCACATTCCATCAGCCCTGAGATGTGGGTGGGATTAAAATGATAAGTAAACTACTACGATATCCAAATAAAATAAAACCAAAATATGAGTTTTATGTACAGCTCAAAGAACAATCCAGTGGCATATGGGGACCTAAGTCCACCCTCCATAGAAACTGGAGACTGACATGACTTTTCACCTATCACATCAGAAACATGTTTGAGATGGTTGGTTATGAATTCATTAGATTAGTCTGGAAACAATAAGCATTGGAGAACAAAACAGAGAACTGGATATGCTACATAGGTGATACATGTGAAAAGCGTCAATGTGGCCCAGGCATGGTAGTGCAGGCCTTTACTCCCAGGACTCCAGAGGAAGAGGCATGAGGATCTCTG